GGATGTGAGCAACAGCCTCCAGCATTCAGCTGTTGCAAAAGAAAGGGGCCCCCTCGCTGCCTCAGTCACCCCTAATGGAGACGCCGCCGCGCTGCTACACCCGCTGGCCTCAGCACATTTTTCCACAGATCGGAGAGATATTTCTTGGGAGGCAGCCAGTCCCTGATATGACACTATTCCTACAGATCACTGTCTTCAAGCGGGCATGGTTTCCTAGTAGGTGAGCTGGCGATGATAAGGTTGACAGATAATTAATTAGCACTAATGTGCTTCAAAGTATGTGGGAAGAGCCAGTAACCACCACGAGTGGAAACGCCAGGGCTGGGGACAGGGGATCTTCCCTGTTCCCCAGCCCCAGGCATGCATGGCAAGGAGTCACGCAGCCAAGGTGAGGTCTAAACAACACATTTATCAAATATATCTTTCTCCCTCCCAAGAAAAATGGCCGCAAGTGGCCAGGCAGCAACCTACTCCAGCACGGAAAGAGGCAGGCAAACAGCATCCGTCTAAAGTCTAAAAGAGGATTTGCAGCAAGATGCCAGTAAAACCTCCTAAAACCTGTTAAAGTGTGCTTGAGCTGGAGGGATGAGTTGCTCTTGGGTTAGTTTTGTGCCACATAGCTGCTGTATCTGGGACCCGACTCTTAGGGACACAACTCTGACTTTATGCTGTCGTGGTGCAGAAAACACAGAGCTGCTCTCGCCCCCGTGGGAAGACGAGGTTCAGTGGTGGCGGCAGCAGCCCAGCATCCGTGCAGCTCCCACAGAGGCAGAAAGGCACCAGATCTGCAGCAGCCGGTGCGTATTTGTCTTGTTGGTTGTTTCATTGACCCAGCTGAGCCTTATTAAACCCTCCTCTTCCCACCAGCTCCCCTTCCATTTGCTGCCCCTTCTCCAGCGTCTGCGGCAGCAAAGCAGGGGCTGGCAGATAAGCCGTGGCGAAACACCGATTCACCGGCCCGGGCATGTGTCCGCCTTCCCTGGCTGCACGTCCAGTCTCAGCGTCTCTCCCCTCCACCAAAGAAATAGTTCCCCTGTGTCCCTCCAGCTGTGGGGTTTTCCCAAACAGCTGAATATTTTGGCTCAGATTCCCACTCCCCCCTCTTTTTAAGAGGAGGGCAACTAGAAGGGAAGATTTGTGCCTTGCTGCCTGAGGTTACACTGATTTTTACAAGCAGCTGAAAACAGAGGCTTTTATCAGGCAGGGTCATCCAACCCTACGAGGCAGCGCTGCCCTCCGGAAGAGTCCCCGCAAGCTGGCAAGGATGCAGCCCCCGGTCCTCCCACCCCGTCCCCGGGGGTCCATCTCCTGCTGCACCCTCCCTGCCAGCACCCCATGGAGCTATGTAGCAGTAGCGTTTCACAGAATACAGCATCTCAGAGGGGTAAATGAGGCAATGACCCCCAAAATCCATGTTCAAAACATCCCAGCTCCATCAGTCCCGAGGCATCCTGCCGCCCAGCACCTTTTGGTGCAGCGCCTTGCACCCTGCTTGCCACAGCACTGACCTGCCAGCGATGAGTGTGCAGGGGAAAAAAAGAGCAATTCCAAGCAGAAAGCACCAAATCCTGCCGTATTCTCCCCAAACAAAATCCCTGAGAACAAAAACATCGTGTTCACCCTGCCCATATCCTCTCTACAATGTTTTGTTGGCGTTTTAGCCTCCTGGACTCGTGCCTAAACCCCTCACAGAGAGCAAGGGGGTGACGGGTGTCGCCAAAACATTTTTGCAGATAAATTCTTTAAAGTTATCAGAATTCGGAGACCATAAGAAAAATTGCCTGGTAGGTATGAAAAACTAATGTAAAACCATCCAGTCTGCTCTAAAAACTAAAGCCTTTCTAATCCCTTTCCAAACAATCTTGACAAAAATCGGTCATTTCCGTACCGCGAAGAAGCAGGTAAAATACAAACTAATGACTGGCCTTAAACCGTTCCTTTGCTGTTCCCCTCCCTCCCTCCCCTGTACAAGCACAGCTCATTTAATTTTTCATTTCAAGCTGAAGCTTTGAATAAGCAGGCAGACAGTGAAAGCTTGTAATGCGCGTTCAGTGAAAGAAGCGTCTGTGTGTAAAGCGAGGAGTTTTAAGAACCCTTTTCCCTCGGTCAAACAGCTGAATATTTATACCAAGCTGGAGGAGCAGCCTGATCCAGTTAGCGGTGTCCCTGCTCACTGCAGGGGGGTTGGACTAGATGGCCCCTAGGGGTCCCTTCCAACCCAAAACATTCTATGATTCTATGGTTCTATGAACACTGATGCGAAACCCTGCAGTTCATCACACCACCACACCTGCTGAAGGAAAATATCGCAAGACCTGCGTTGGTGTCTCTTTTCCAGCGGCTGTTGTTTTCGGCGACGATTTAAAATGTGCAATAGCTGATGTTATCTGCAGCGAGCAGGTAACCTTTTACATTTTGTAGACAGTCAGCAGTCACATGAATGATGAGGCGTGGACCAAAGCCCTTCTGAATGGACTGGTTCGCGGTGCCAGCAGCAGAACATGTGATAGGGAAAAACCCTCGCTTGGTATTTTTCTCATGTCATGAGAGTGGAAGAGGGAAACTGAGATGTTGCACCATTCAGTCTCCCCGAGGGTTAACCCGGTCTTCTCAAATTTAGGGGCAATGAATGTCTCAGGTGATAAAAAGGGGAGGTTAATAAAAGATGCGGGGGAGGGTTTTGTAGTACAGGCCACTTTGAACGATAAGGAAAAAAATATTCCCATGATTAAGGCATATCAGCATCATTAAGACTTGGCTCCTATTCCCAGCTGTGCCACAACCTTCCTGTGTGCGGAGTCACCGCTTTCCTCACCCAGCTCCTCACCTTGAATATGCAAAGCTGGATCCCTGCCTTGGCGGAGAGGCTCCTCACCTCAAATATGCAAAGCCAGATCCCTGCCTTGGCGGAGAGCTGCCAGCTGCTCCCTGCACCGTGCCCAGGAAAGAGCTTTGGCCAGGGAGCCTGGGAGATTGCCATGGATGCCGCAGGACGGTGATACCTTCCTTGGTGTTTAAGACTTCTTTTTTGGTTTTCCCCTTCTTTGGCATCTGCCATTTTGTTATCTGCAGGAGACAAAGGCAGAAGATGCCAAGTGCCTTCTCCCACCCAGCCCCGCTCAGCAGAGGCAGGTGACAGCGGGTGTCCCCTGCAGCGGCTGGTCCAGCAAGGTGGGGACAAGGGCAGGCTTGCTGCGGGGACAGAGTCCAAGCTGGGCGGCAAGCCAGAGCCACCACCAGTGTTTTGGTGACAGGGCACCTCTCCGGGTCCTGCCTGCTGCAGCACAGGGGGGCAGCGAGAGGCAGGTCACTGCCCCCACCATGCTCAGCGAGGGCAGAAGCCACATGGGAGGAAGCAGCCCCAAACCAGCATGCAAGAGCAATGCATCTCTTTACTCATGCAGGAATTCCACGAATGCTTTAATTTGATGTGCAAATGATTCGTGGAATGAACATTTTTCCCAGATAAGCAAATAGCTGAGACAGACCTAGTATTACCCTGTCGTAGTCACCATCAATCCAAATTTGGAGATTAAAGGATTACAGTCCTAACTCAAATCCAAACATTTCCAGTGAAAAAGCCAGCAATATTTCCAAGTCAAACTCCCACCAAGGCCGCTGCATTACAAGCAAAGTGGTTGTGGGCACCTCAAGGACCCTTCTCAGCCTTCCTTGGTCTCTCAGCCCAAGCCATCAGCTCCATCTCATTTCAGCACAAACCCGATGTCTCTGCTTGCTCTCACAACATTTGTCACATTACTCTCCACCTTCCTTCTTTTAATCTAAATGATAGCTTTGAAGGGAGGTTCATGTAGAACAATATGCTTTTTTTTCACCCCGCAGCATTTTCAGCTGGAAGACATATTCAATAGGAAAATTCTGGTTTACGATCATTTTAACTGCTTTAATTTAAAAAGAAAAGCAACTGGTTCTCAGCTGCAGGGGAAAAAA